GGGAGGCTGAGGCAGGAGAATGGCGTGAACCCGGGAGGCGGAGCTTGCAGTGAGCTGAGATCCGGCCACTGCACTCCAGCCTGGGCAACAGAGCGAAACGCTCTCAAAAAAAAAAAAAAAAGAACATCATCTCTGAAGTCTGGTTTGAGTCCAGTATCTGCTACTTAAATACAATGTACTGGGAAATTATTTAACCCACTGTGTCTGTTTCCAAATCTACCCACAAATGGGAGCATAAGTAAAGGAAAAAGAAACTGAAGGGGTCCAGGGAAAGTTCTTTCCTAATGGAGGAGACACTAGGCATATTTGTATACTAATGAGGATAATCTCCTAGAGAGGTATAAGAGAAAATGGAAGGAGTAGAGTCCTTGAGAAGGTGGCAGGAGATGGTAACCAAATCATTGATAGAATGGGCCTTTGAGAAGAAAAGGGACACTTTCTCCATTGCAATCTGAGATAAGAAAAGATGGGCACAAATGTAGATTTGATGCAAAGAGCAGTTAGGTTATTGGCTGAAAATGAGAGTTGAAGAGGAGCATAAAGTTATGATAACAGAAGACAAAGTATGAGATTATGAGATGCCTGTCTAACTCAGTGGGAAAGTACACCTAAATGGAGAAAGTAGACTTGCCAAGAAGTTTTGACCGGTAAAAGTTTGTCATCTTGAATTTCTTTCGTTTTTTTTCTTTTTCCTTTTTTTTTTTTGAGGCAGTCTTACTTCTTTGACCAGGCTGGAATGCAATGGTGTGATCTCAGCTCACTGCAACCTCCGCCTCCTAGGTTCAAGCGATTCTCCCGCCTCAGCCTCCCAAGTAGCTGGGATTACAGGCACGTGCCAACACGCCCAGCTAATTTTTGTATTTTTAGTAGAGACGGGGTTTCACCATGTTGGTCAGGCTGGTCTTGAACTCTTGACCTCAAGTGATCCGCCCAGCTTGGCCTCCCAAAGTGCTGGGATTACAGACGTGAGCCACCATGCCTGGCCAGTCATCTTGAATTTAAAGTGAAGTCAGTCAGCTTTATTATACGATTTTTCTCCAGCGTAATCTGCTATTTGGGTACAGACACTGAGAAGACAGATGAGTTTCATCTAAGGTTGGCATCTCTTCAAGTGGGTATGTAAACTGAGGCTATCTGCAAGAGAATTACTTTAATGATGAATCATAAAATCTAGACTAATGAAGAAGATGGAGGGCTGGGCACAGTGGTTTACGGCTGTAATCCCAGCACTTTGGGAGGCCGAGGAGGGTGGATCACTTGAGGTCAGGAGTTCAAGAGCAGCCTGGCCAACATGGTGAAACCCCGTCTTTACTAAAAACACAAAAATTAGCCGGGCATGCTGGTGGGCACCTGTAATCCCAGGTACTCAGGAGGCTGATGGAGAATCACTTGAACCGGAAAGGAGGCTGCAGTGAGCTGAGATCACACCACTGCACTCAAGCCAGGACAACAGAGCGAAAATGTCTCAAAAACAGGAAAAAAAAAAGCAGGTAAAGCCAGGAAAGGCCTGGTAGGAAAGTATGTGAAATCAGTGTACCTGAAAGGAGATCAATGATTTGGAAGTTTCCATGACATGGAAGAATTTTGCAGTAGGAGTCTATTTTCTAACTATTAACAGCTATAAGATTCTTGAGGACAGAGACAGTGCCTTTTACGGCCATCCTAACAGATGCTTGCAACTAGCAGGAATGAAGTAATGTTTGCTTATTTGATTAGCCATAGCCCCAATAGCTCACCTGGCAGGTGACAGCTAGTGTATGACAGATCTGGGTCTTCCCAGTTCGGAATTCTCCAAACATTTCTGTGATAGATCCAGTCTCAATTCCACCTAAAAGAGCAATAAGAAATACCTCTTAGCATAATACAAACATTTAGAAACTGTAGTCACAGAAATGTTCTTGGAGCTCAAGAGAAAGATATTTACATAAATTAAAAATTCAATTTCCAACAACCGATTTTTCAAAAATGTATTTTGAGGCTAGCCATGGTGGCTCAGGCCTGTAATCCCAGCACTTTAGGAAGCTGAGGTGGACTGACTGCTTGAATTCAGGAGTTTGAGACCAGCCTGGGCAACATGGTGAAGGCCTGTCTCTACAAAAAATACAAAAATTAGCCGAGCATGGTGGCGGGTGCCTGTAGTGCCAGCTACTCAGGAGCTAAGATGAGAGGATCACTTGAGCCTGGGAGGCAGAAGCTGCAGTGAGCCGAGATCATGCCACTGCACTCCAGCCTAAGCGACACAGTGAGACCCTGTTTCAAAACAAACAAACTAAAAGTATTTTGAAATAATTATAGATTTATAGATAGTTGCAAATAAGGCTAGGTGCGGTGGCTCATGCCTGTAATCCCAGCACTTTGGGAGGCCAAGGCAGGCGAATCACCTGAGGTCACGAGCTTGAGAGCAGCCTGGCCAACATTGTGAAACTTCGTCTCTACTAAAAATACAAAAATCAGCTGGACATGGTGATGGGCACCTGTAATCCCAGCTACTCAGCAGGCTGAAGCACGAGAATCACTTGAACCTGGGAGGCAGAGGTTGCAGTGAGCCGAGATCACACCACTGCACTCCAGCCTGGGTGACAGAGTGAGACTCCTTCTAA